CTAATGACCAGCAGGGGGCGACTCCAGCGGTTGCAAAAAGAAGCCTGAGAGTATTGAGATTTATGGAGAAATGAGCCGAGATCTCACTTGATTTATGAGCTGTTTGTAGTCTCTGGATTCTGTTACTGCGTTGACTATTTCTCTCCTTAAATGTTTGTGTTTATCTGTTTATCTGGAATACAACAAATAAACAAAATCCACATATCCTCCCCAGCTCCCCACTCTCGTCCAAATATAGTCACTTCTGGTTCCAAAAAACCAACACGACAACAGCCATGATGCCAAACGTCATCATGACAAAAGAACAGTTCAACACTTTCAGAAATAAACTGACTTCTTTCAGAGAGTGAGATAAGAAAGTGTTTGTTCTCTTTTGATTGTAGTTTCAGGCTGTCAGCCAATCAACAGCCAGTATCCTCCACAGTAAAGATATGTGGACACCTGTGCTGTAAACTGGGCACAACAGCTACTACTAACAACTTTTTAATCCTGTTAATGCTCGGACATTTCTTTCTGCATTCCTTCAGCTAGAGTACATTATTATAACACTATTCTAATGCCACATACACACATTATTAAATCATCTACTGTATATGTGCACTTCCAAACATCCAAATAAAACACTGGTCAAGTGTGTTTAAAGGACTATTCTTTATAGAATGATTCCCCACACCTTCAAACTTTCTGACCAAATATTTCTCCACTTTCTTGTAATACACACGATTGGCCACCAGATGGAGCTGTCAGCCAGAGAATGAGGAAGCTGCTCAGACAGGATCCACCTTTCCATCTTCATTATACACAGAAAAAAAGAAATAAAACGAAAAGAACACCAAAACGAATGACAATGAAAAATGGTTGTGTCGTTCAACAAACTGTAATGTTTAATGTGCAATATGTCAACCCAATACAGAGTCAGTTATAAGAGTGCCAACAGGAAAACGAGTCAATAACAGAAAGAATGGGATCCAAATTTAAGATACACTGCTTCATTGTGGAACAAACTTAAAGTTTTATTCTTTAATGTATATATTAAAGCCAAAATATCATATACTGTATGTAAGGGACAGTGCCCGACGAGGTGTCCACTGTCAGGAAGTAATGGACGGCGTCCTGCTTAAACCATTTTGTGTCTAGATTCAATTTGTAAAGTTCTTGTTTTTTTTTTTGTGCTTTTTAAATATCTTTCTCTGTTTTTAGTGAATGCAGTAATCTTATAGTGTTCTATTATATTTTATATAAATGTAAAATGCTGTATTTCAAGCTGTTACAACTTTAAATAAATATATTGTTGTAAATAAAGTTGTATTACTTTTTCTGCATATTTTCAACTTTCCATAACATTTTTAACACACTTACCTTTCCTGTAATGGATACAGAGAATCAGAAATGACGGTGTGTGTGTGTGTCAGTGTGTCATTCACAGAGAGCTGCTGCTCACTGACTGACTGGGATGGAGCTGTGTGAGGCTGCGGCTCCGATCTGACACCAACACGAGCCGACAGAGGTGTCTGAACAGAAGCAGCGTGAACAGGAGGTGTCACATCTGTTTCTGTTTGTGTCTTCCAGCTTTGATTGGAAGCTTTTATCTGTCCTTGCTTTGTCTGCTGACGCTCTGACAAGCTGCCAAATCTCAGAATCTGACAGATAGAAGAACACTGGCAGAGGCTGATTGATGGATAAAGTTTCACGTCATTTAAATGTCTAAGGGATCCAATATTATATCAGCGGTGGAAAGAAATGACTTAATGCAGCTTTTACAGTTCATACTGAGAGTTAAACCAGAGTTTGTACAGTTGAACATCCCTGCACTCATTAAAAGGAAATAAAAGTCTTATCTCTTTAATTTGGAGTCATTTTACAGCCTTTTTAGGTTTTAATCGTTGTTTTTCTCCCTGGTGTTTATTTTATTTTTCTCAATCTACTTTTGTCTTTCTTTTGTTTTTTTTTGGTGTTTAATTTTACTGTTTCTACTGTATTCATTTTTAACCTATTTATTGTTGTTTTCTTGTTGTTTTTGGGTTACACTTTGGGTTGCATGTTTGTATGAATGGGGCTATATAACAAAAGTTGAGTTGAGTTTGATTTATTTACTGTGTAAACTCAGCCTCAAGAAGTAAAGAATATGGATCATTTATAAATGTTCTGTGATTTGGTGGTGATTATCCTGAAAATAAAAACACATTTGTATACAAATGTTAAATATTAAATATTAAAAATAGTCATTTTTACTATTTACTTTTTTGTATAACCTTTTCTGACACGCTCTCGCCACCAGAGGGCGCTGCCAGGTGACTTAAGTAACTTAAACCATTGTAAAGGGACAATCAGTGGCTGATAAATACACACATGGACACACACACACACAGTCAGAATGACATCAGTCACCCACAATACAATGCTGCTGTTGTAACCCTGTCTAATGCACACACACACACACACACACACACACACACACACACACACACACACACACACACACACACACACACTGTCTGACCCAGTCACTTCCCAGAGCCAGGCAGTGATCCAGCACATCCCATGACTACTACTACACACACACAGATCATGCACACACACTTACATAAAACCCTGAAAACAAACAGAAGCTGATGCTGTGTGTGTGTGTGTGTGTGTGTGTGTGTGTGTGTGTGTGTGTGTGTGTGTTCTGTGCCGTCTATCTTTGTGAGGACCAGAGATACAGTAGAAGTAAGTTGTCGCAGCCTGAAATTTGTGTTTGATCAGTCGGCAACATTCAGGACCGTAAACTCCGCCCCGACAGAGCGGGGACAGTAAATACTGGTTCCTCCAGTTGGAGCACAGGTGAGGTTTCTGATTTCATAAGAAACTCTGTGGGGAAAAAAAAGGCAACATGGCTGCAGGCAAAGACAAAAACCTTCCTCACTTTCCCACCAGTGTGTTGAGCATCAGCGTGACTCCTGGTCTGAGTGTCTGGAGCTGTTACTGAATACACGACTGCTGCTGCCATGTTTTATTTAGACAGTGAGCACACACACAAACATACACATACACACACACACACACACACACACACACACACACTGAGCAAAGTGGTGCAGAGAAGACAGGAGAGCTAAAAACAGCAGAGAGAGAAGAAAAAAAAACAAAAAAGAGAAGGAGAGGAGAAATACCGACAGGGTAGAGAAAGACTGCGTGCAGCAGCAGCAGCAGCCTGATGAAGAGGAAACATCTGAGTCACTGTAGTTAAAAATACACACTCATCAATAAGAGATCCTCCATGTCGACTACATGAAGAGATTAAAACACCCTTTATGAATGAATCAGTGAATGGATGAATAAATGAATAAAATCATCCTGAAAATAAGAACTGTTGTGTTTTAGTGAACTAACGCTGGAACAAGAAGACCATTATTCTAAATTTTAAATACACTAAAGGAAATTTAAGTCAAATTTCAGAGGTTAATAGACTCAGATATTGTTGTGCAAACACTGTAAATAAATTAATAATTGATGAAATAGTAATGATCCACATTAGTATCAGTTTCAACCTGTCCAAACTGTAATATGTCAGTCAAAGAGGTATTAATGATACGGATGCACAATAATTATCGGGGCAGTTAAATCATCAGCCAATAATGGGAAATTTATATTATTAGCAAGCAAATTAAATTACAGCCAATAAATTATCGGTCGATGATAATAATTTATTTTGAATTCCTAAGTTAAACGATTGATAGGCTTTATGTTCTATGAAAGTCAAAGCATGTTAAAAGAGAAAGACTTTGTTGTTGTTGGTTTACCCTACTGGCAGATGTTTTTGCTCAATACAAGAAAATAAATGTGATTATATTGAAGAATTGGAGAATATTGAAGAAGAATATATTGGCTTGTTTTTGCCGTGGATGTCGATGATATCGGCCGTTAGAAGAACGTAATTTAAAATCCATACTGTGCATCCTTAGTTAATGGTGAATAACTGGAACAAGGGACACTTTAAATTCTTCACAGGAGAGAATCAAATAAGAACCAGACTGCGACAAACCAGAGAGGAAACTCCTCATTTATTCTATAAAATCCACTCGAGATGAAGAGGAGGAGTGAAGTTTGATGATGAAGGATGAACGTCGACTGCTCTGGGTCTGCACACTGACTGGAGTTACATAAATAACTGAACGGTCAACTGCGTGACCTGTGGAAGCCAGTTGTTATGTAACACCAAGGCCGTGGAGAGATGAAGGGCATTATGGGTAATTTGCTGTCTTAGGTCAGACAGTTGGGTCGACTGATGTTCAGTATTCATGAATTCAACAAGAAACTGCCTATCAATACAAGTCTGCATGTATGTAAGCAACACGGCCAGAGTCAACCTGCTGGCTCTGCTGCTTTTATTCTGAACTCTAATCCAGTTGATTAAGGTCCTCTTTAGATCCCGAAGAACGTTGAGAAGCTTCGACTCGGAGCTCACCCTTCCATGGTATCTTTTTCAGGTATTTGGAGATTTAAAAAGATCCAAATCTTGGGCTCTTTTGTCAACTGAAGCTCTTAAATAATAAGTAATAATAAGCTCTGAAGGTTACTCAAACAGGGTCCAGTTCAATAATGTCAGCAGCTGTGGTACAGGATAATCAATCAGTATTTGCACAGAGAGGTGTCCAGGATTTGGATTTAAAATAAAATCCCAATTATGAAGACAGCAGGGAGAGCCAGAGCACACTCTGCATTACACACAAAGGTTCCAGTGTTTCACCTGCCTCAACACACTTCAACCAAAATTAAAACAACGTAAAACTCAAGCCAAACATCAACAGACAAGCTCGTAGGTGATGGTTTGCTTTCTTTGAGTCCATTTCATCCACAGCACAGTCCTCAGAATCACTGAAAAATGCTACTGAGCCAACAGTGACTTTCTATCAACTCTATCTGTTCAACATTGTTCGAGTTTAGATTTAGATGCACTAGTTTAATGAGCAGAAGTAACAACCAGCTCTATTATCAACCAGGAAGTGTCCATGTTTTACCTTGAGCTGCACCAGGTGGACGTCCACGTGTCTATTGATGCTGTCTTGTCCCACAGAGTGTGTGAGCTGTGTGACTCTGTCACTGGTCGCTCTCAGCCATGTCTCGATCTCCGGTAGGTGGAGGACGACCTTCCAGTCGGCTCCAGTGTGGAGGGGCGGAGGTTTCTTTGACCTGAAACAACACATATTGCACGTAAAATAGATTAAACCTAACCACTGTCTTAGACTATTTGATTAATTATAGTCTGAATCAGCTGCTATAACACTATAATTTCTCTTCGGGGATAAATAAAGTATTCTATCTATCTATCTATATATCTATCTATCTATCTTAACTGAAAAACACAGAACTATAAGTTGTCGTCATTATTGGATGATTTGTTACCTCCGGGAGGGGTCTCGACCCAGGTGAGATCCTCCCCCAGTGAGGTCACCTTGGCTGGGGCCAGGGCCAGGTGAGGAAGCCCCGTCCTGGGACTGATGCTCCGAGTCCAGGCTGAGAGGAGCGGTGGTGACAGCAACAGAGGACGTGCAGGCGTCGGGGTCGAGGGTCGGGGTGACGGGAGTGATGGAGGTGATCATCGGGGACGTAGGTTCAGGGGCCACGGGTGAGAGAGCTACGATGCTCATGGTGAGAGACCGGGAGAGAGACCTACAGGGTTCTTAATGCGGGTGGACGAGCCTCATCGGAGTAAACTGGAGAGAGAAAGAGCAAAGGAGAGAGAGACATATTGTAAGAAATACAAAATACGATTCTGATAAGGAGTATCAATATCGAATCAAAACGATATTTCATCCGATAAGAATGCACACAACACTGATTTCACACTTTTCTTAACACTTGCTATGTGTACATTTTCATATGTACTTCTTTATTTGTGAGGACCAGTTGATGGAATTGTGAGGACCAGTTGATGGAATTGGGAGGACATTTGAGGAGAAAAGCATTCACACTCACTCACTGTAACACGACCACGAAAGGAACATCAAGGAGAAATTTGGGTTTCAGTGTCTTGCTCAAGGACACTGGGACGTGCAGACAGGAGGATCCGGGAATCAAACCATGAACTCTGCGATTAATGGTTTTAGGGTAAAAGTCAGAATTAGGTTTAGACAAAGTTTAGAGAGTTTTCCCCCCCAGGGATTGATAAAGTATTTCTGATTAGGGTGAGGATTTCTATAAAGTAAGATAAAGCAGACATGCCCTTTTTGGCATTATTTTTTTATTCAGTTACATAAACTTGATTGGTGTACAGTCACAAGATTAGGTACTGATTAAGACACTGGTCATGAGACAATTTTTTTAATGGTCAACTGTAAAAATCTGTGTATAATCCCCAAGCCTTGAACCCTACAAGGAAACATAGGCGTAATCAGCCAAACCACTGATCAGAAAGTTCACTGAACACTAGATTTATCGCACAGCAGTTGTATACCTTCGTCAACCAGTCGCAGTTTACATCCATGTCTGTCCAGAATCATATAATATACGTGTGGAAGACTTTGAAGGAATATTGGCAGAACATAGTCGAGTATAGCTCAGAATACATGTCCATTCATACAGTAATGGCTCAGTAATCATCTCGTGGGGCCACAAACACAATCCATTTTCCCCAGTATTGCAAGAATTTATCAACCCATTTATAGTAAGTAAGTAAAAGTAATTCTCTCCATACTTTGAACAGTTGTCACAATATCTATCCAGTCAGGGATTTGTTGTTTGTTGGAGGCTCAGTGTGTAACCATTTCTGTGTCATAGCTTTCTTGCTAGCTGCTAATAGTATTTTTAGTAGATATTTTTCTTGCACTAGTAAATGAGCTGCAATATTGCCCAAATTGATTGTAGAGCAAAGACAATCCCTAAAGATGTTTATTTCTCGTATTACCTCCAGTATGACCGAACGGCCAGGCAGCTCTAGAATATATGGAAAAGATCTGCCGGCTGTTCTCCACACCTCCAACATGGACCCCTTTCTCATCTGACCTGTCTGTACATATTCACTAGATTCATTCATAAATCATGACCTTGACCGTTGGCCACCAAAAAAAGTGGACATTTGTGCCAAGTTTAATTCCCTCGATTGGTTTCTGAGATATTGTGTTCACAAGAATGGGACAGACAACCTGAAAACACAATGCGTCCAGCCACGGCTATCGTAAGTGCAGACACTTACAATAATGAAGAGCCTTGCCAGGTCATTTGTGTGGTGGCCAGGGATGGACAGTGCTCTAGAAGAAAAGGTAAAGGCATGTGCACAATGTCAAAGTAACCAAAAGATGCCAGCACCTGCCCCGCTCCACCCATGGGAGTGGCCCGGTCATCCGTGGTCGAGGCTCCACCTGGATTTTGCTGGTCCATTTATTGGTCACCTGTTCCTAGAGCTGATAGATGCACATTCTAAGTCGCTTGATGCACACATCATGTCAAACATTACTGCCTCAGTCACCACGGAAAAGCTCAGGATCATCTTTGATACTCACAGGTTGCCAGATACTGTTGTGACAGACAACAGTCCCACTTTCACCAGTGAGTTGTTTCAGGAGTTCATGGAGAAAAATGGTATCCGACATATCCGCACGGCTCCCTATCATCCATCCTCCAATGGCTTAGCAGAACGAGCTGTTGAGACCCTGAAAGATGGTCTACGAAAGATGTCAGGACATACACTGGAAACTAAGCTTTCCCACTTCTTGTTTCAATATCGGATCACTCCCCACACAACCACAGGCATATCCCCAGCAGAAATGTTAATGGGGAGGAAGCCCAAATCTCATCTGGATCTGCTCCACACAGACGTACTTCATGGTGGACTTGTGGGACAGACGGCAGATCGGCAGGCACCAGGATCACCTGCATGCTCTCCGTGGGGCTGGAGGGGAGAGGCCTCAGAGTGTTACACACAAGGACAGTGTGGACAGCTCTGCGGCTGATTTTGAGGTGCCAGTAGCACAACAGCAAACTGATGGACTGTCTGTGCAAAGTGAGGCTGTACAGGTTGCCCAGCCTGTCTGTACCCCAAACTTGGCTGGGAGTACACAACCTGCTACAGGAACTGTTGGTCCCACAGTGGGACAGAGGAGATCTAAGAAAATTAAATTTAAGTCTTAAAGCACAAAGCATTTAGGGGATTGTCAAAGACACATTTCTGTAAGTTAGGACAGAAAACATTTTAGTTACATGAGTTTACATGAGTTTACAAAGGGGACCTGAATTGCACAGTTGTATTTCTTTACATTATGTTTTCACTTAAAGGCAGAGAAGTGTTACAGACTGGGACTGTGTCACTGTGTTATAAGGGTACTGCACCCCGGACCCTTTATTAATTAACCCAGGTACCCCCAGGGACGTTTAGAGGTGTACCCCGCCCTGTTGACATGTGCTGCTACCTGCGATATTCTATGTGTGTATGAGTGCTGTTGCAGACGTTAAGTAAAATCTGTTAACCGTCCAAAGTGTGCGTGCATTATTAGCCTCCAGTTCATCTCTTGCCATGAAACACACCCAAGCTCTATGACAGTTCATGGTTCAGTGTTTATGGCTCGGCAATGATCTCTTACCAGAACTGCATGAAACAAACAAGGAAATAATCTCTTTAGTCCCTATAAAAAGGATGCCAACAGACAGAACAGCTACAGAAGGAAGCAGTGTATATACTTGGAACACTGAAATACTGCAACTAGTGCATTTAAGACTTTTTCAGAAAACCTTTTTGAGGAGTGGAAGCGTGAGGGATTTTTCTGATTAATTTTAGAAATCCACAAAATTTGTAGCTTCTCTTTAAGAGAATGGATCTCTACATGGCTTGTCGGTCAGAGCATAATTTCTACTGTCCAGTCTGCCACTGACTCTTTAACGATCCTGTCATCCTACCATGCAGCCACAGTTACTGGAAAGCCTGTCTTCAGAAATGGTGGACAGAGGTAGCAGTTCCTGAGTGTCCAGTCTGTAAGAGACAAACTACAACATATCCAATTCAAAACATAGTTCTGAAGGACAAAATTAATTTTGTGATTCTCCGATATATGGCATGTTTAGATGTCAGCTCAATAATTATTAGTATGGGTGGAACATAGGAAAGAAGATACAGAGTATTTAAATGTACTGAATGTTAGTTACTATCTCTTGCCATGAAACACACCCCAGCTCTATAACAGTTCATGGTTCAGTGTTTATGACTCGGCAGTGGTCTCTTACCAGTACTGCATGAAACAAATAAAGAAATACTCTTCTTCTTCCCTTTGAAAAATTGCCCAAACATACAAGAGCAGACTGTAAAAGACCTTCCACACCAAGAACAACAAATAGAATGATAAAGATATGAGCATCCACACTGATGAACAATAAGGTTGTATAAATAGTGGACCCAAGCACGCACTGTGTGTTACTGCTCTATGTTGCACAGAAAAATCTGAAGGATCTGGGTTCACAAAGTTTTTCAAACACAAGAGGAGTTAGCAGAATCTAACATTTTCTTTCACTCATCAAATCACTCTGAAAGTGATTCTGATGATATCATTCACCACTGTCATTGTGGCCTCTGCAAATTTGCAAAGGTTTTTAAAACAATATTTTCATAGTTATTGTTATGGTAACAACATGGTATTGTTCTTGGTGTGTGGACGTCCTTTACAAGTTATGTCCTGAGAAAGTGAGAAGTGGAAATGCTGCAAAACTGCAATACTGCGACTCCTCAATGTATTTAGGACTTCCAGTGGAAGGGAGTGCTTTAGAGAGGTGGCTCTCTGCTTGCCATAGTTTTTGTAAAGCCTGTTGGCAGCACTGGAGGACAGAGAAAGCATTTCTGTACACAAGTAATGCAAACTGTTTTGATTGGAGTGGTCAGAAGCAATGTTGACTGTCAACATTTCATGCATAGCTCAGGTGGTTGCGTCATCTACATCATGCAGGAACTTGCTGTCATTACTGTAACTAGCCTGGCCTGCCTGCTAGCTTGACCCACTTCATATATATCATGTGCTGCCAGTGAATCCAACAAAGATAACATACTGACCACCAGTGCAATCACAACAAATGATTAGAACATTATAAATACTAAAATTATAAAATTCTGATTAAAATGGGCAAAATGCAGCCAAGAGCATCATGTTCAAGTGGGACATATGAGGAAGTAAAGCTTATCTAAATGTGGTATATGAATGTGAAGCTCTTAGAGTGTAATGAGAGAACAACGCTTGGAATGAAATTCATAGTTCCACTCATTACCTCAACCAAAAACCAGAAAACCCAGTTGCATTTGTCCTGATAACATGTACCGACTAACAAAAGCCTCATAACTGCGAGGACGGCAACCAGAGCGAACAGCAGAAATCCAGGAAACTTCAACGAGCTGCTGATTCCAGGATTAAACATTTTGAGAAGTTTCTCGAGGAGCAGAAATTGGATTTTCTGTCCCAAACCTGTCAAGGTATTTTTTCTTCTACACGCTGAGATTCTTCTTTAGGATTTTTTCTCATCTCCATCAAGAGCCCAGTCTGTGTTAGTAACTGTTTCTGTTGAGCTTGTTGAGACATTATATGCCATACTGGGCTGTATACAGATATCTGACTGCGAGTGGAGGCCTCATTGACAGTTTCGACTTGTTTAAGCTGTTTGCTGTAGCTGCTAGGACAACTGTGAAATAATGGCTTCTCGGCCAGAGGAGAATCTCTACTGTCCTATCTGCCTTAAGATTTTTCAAAATCCTGTCCTCCTGTCATGCAGCCACAGTTTCTGCAAAGCCTGTCTTCAGACATGGTGGACAGAAAAAACGATTCTTGAGTGTCCACTTTGTAAGAGAAGATCTTTAGATAAGGATCCACCTCAAAACTTGGCACTAAAGAACCTGTGTGAAGCCCTTTTACTGGAGGGAACTGAGAGACTTTCAATACGGTCTGAGGCTCTCTGCAGTCTGCACTCGGAGAATCTCAGACTCTTCTGTCTGGACCATCAGCAGCTACTGTGTGTCATCTGTCTGCACTCAGAAACACACAACACCCACACCATCAGACCCATCGAGGAAGCAGCTCGGGATTGCAAAGAGGGACTTCAGGAATTCCTGCAGGTCTTACGAGAGAAATTGGAGCACTTCAAAGACACTAAAGGAAACCTTGATCAAACAGCTCAAGACATCGAAGTTCAGGCTCAAGACACTAAGAGGCAAATTAAGGATGTGTTCTTGACGTTTCAGAAGTTTCTCAAAGAGGAAGAGGAGGCAAGGATTGGTGCAGTGAGGGAGGAAAAGAATCAGAAGAGCGAGATGATGAAAACAGAGAGTGAAGCTTTGAGAACAGAGATAACAGATCTTTCTGACACAATCAGAGTCGCAGACGAGGTGCTGCAAGCTGAAGATATCTCATTCCTGCAGAGCTACAAGACCACAGCTGAACTAGTCCAAAATTTCCAGTTGGATGTCCCGCAGCAGACACCAGAAGCTCTAGATGTGGACAAACATCTGCACAACCTGTCCTTTAAAATCTTGGACAGTATAAAGAAGAAGGTTTCCCCGACCCAGCCCCCAAAACCCCCACCCCACCACAAACCACTACAACCATACTCCAAACCATCACCACAATCACCACCAGCACCACCAGCACCAAAAATTTCAGAAGCCACTTTGAGAAGACTGAGGAGACAAAATGTTGAACTAATGAACAAGAACCGTTATGAGGAGACTGGAGTCTGTAGTACATCCAAGGGTGGAGCTGTGTCCAGGAGGCCATTAAAACTTGGGGCACCGAGTTGGAATACAAAAGTAATCAGCAAGAAAAATCCTGTTCCACACAGCTATGATCCAAATTATCAAGGATTTGCCTATCCCCCACGGCCAGCTCTTATTATTTTGGTTACCCATATGATATACCCCCACTTCCCCAACTTCCCACTCTGCCCACTCTGCCAACATCATATTACTCCACCAATACTGCCTACTCACCACGGAGATAAGCTGTTTTTATGGATGTAGCATTGGCCAATATCACTGTAGTGATAACCGAGGACGAATAGCTGCTGCAGTGCTGTAGCTAATAAACTAAACATCACATGAATTTGTAAATGAATCTTTCTGTGGGAAACAGACTGTGTTCTGACAGCACAACACAAACATCTCAGACCACCTTTTCCAGGTGAGCTCCGGTATAGTTTCTTGGTCTGAAATAGGGTTCGGGGGGAAAAGCATTCACAACGGTAATGCTAATGGTAATTAGTCTTGGATTCAGACTGAACTTCCAGTGTGAAAACCAACAAGACCTGGACTGAAGCAGCTTTGTTAGAAGTAGGAAAAAAAAGAACACCAAAAGCAAAAATACATTGAAGTCAAAAATGAAATGTGTTTATATTGACTCATATCTTTTCTTATTCAGTGTTTTTTTCAGCTAAAGAGGTAAAATAATTCATATTTCTTTCCAAATGACTCCTTTATTCATTCTGTTCTGTTGGTCATTTTTGTGAACGTGTGTGGACAAAGGTGGAGATCTGACATTCAGACTTTAGATATTTTTGCTGAATTAAATGTTTCTGTACTGTTTTGTATTGATGGCACACAGCTGTTCTTTAGAGAGGCTTATTATTTTTATTATTATTATTATCATTATTATTATTATCATTATTATTATTATTATCATCATCATCATCATCATCATCATCATCATTATTATTATTTTTATTATTATTATTATCATTATTATTATTATTATTATTATCATCATCATCATTATTATTATTATTATTATTATTATTATTATTATGCTTACTGGGGGTGGACAAAATAATAAAACCAGCTGATAACAACAATGCAAAAATCAATAAAAAATAAAGTGAAATTTACTTAAGATTTATTGACTGTATCATCATCATCATCACCATTATCATCATCATCACAGGGCTTGTGTGACTATATGTAAGTGTAAGGCATGAAGGTGTACACACACACACACACACACACACACACACACACACACACACACACACACACACACACACACACACACACACACACACACACTTTAGAATAGAGCAAGATAATAGGAAGTATCTCTGAGTCAAACAGGCCTTTCTGTTCTTCCAAAAGAAAATTTGTTATCAACCGTGTTTTTTATGAGGTTTTAATAGACTTGATTTTACACAAACTTATACAAGAGAATTATCAAAATCCTACCAGAAAATGACAGGATTTATCTCCCTGAGCTTTTATTGTGAAACATCTGAGCGAGAAGTGTAGAGTAGAACCGGTTCTGCAGGAGTAGCAAAACATAAAGTGTGTTTACAACACATAAACAAGTGCCAAGTTCTGAGTTAACAGCAAACAGCTGCAACTGATGAAATGAGAGCAGATCAGAAAAAAACAATCAGAAAACAAGCAGGTAGAAGTTGAGGTGTCCTGGTGTTTTATGGCCTAAACCATTACCTCTTAGGACAATGTTTAAAGGATCCCCACGATCCATGCATGACTGTAGACTTTTAGAGGGAAGTCACAAAAAGTGCTCTCAATTCTGAAACTCATAGTGGTTTTCACTAAACAACAAAGCAACAGAATTTATAACGTATATATATAACAGAATATAAAGGAAAACTAGAGAGAAAAACCCCACACACATCCACACTGCACCTCTCCATCTGCCCCGACATTTAAAGACCTAATAATCCCTTATTTTAAAACCAGATGGAGTCATCCAGACTGATCCATATGTGAGACAGAAAATCAAACAAGTGGTCAGATGACAACAAACTCTCTCTCCCTCCCTCTCTCTCTCTCTCTCTCTCTCTCTCTCTGTCAGTTACTGTTTATCTCCTCCGCTCTTCCTCCTATCGGCATGAAGGAGACAAAGCCTCTCACGTCTTTTTTGTCACACTTTCTCTCTCTCTCTCTCTCTCTCTCTCTCTCTCTCTCTCTCTCTCCCCCTCTGCCGTTGTCCTCTCTGTCCCTCTCTCTCTTTCTCTCTCTCTATGTCTCTCTCTCTGTCTCAGACATGCAGACTGTCACAGCATGGCGCTGCACGCACACACACACACACACACACATACACACACACACACACAGTCCATGTGTGTGTGCCTCCTCCCTTTTATCTCAGCTGTAGCTTTAAATCCTTTTAAGCACCACGAGGAGACGCAGCGAACAGACAAATAAAATGTTTTATTCATGTTCTCTTTTCTCTGAATAAGTATGCATCCAGCGCAGTCTGCATTCATTCCACACAACATAAAAACGTTCCAGGGAAAATATCTGTCTATTAATATATATTTGGCTCACGAACAGCAGTGGTGGAGTGTCAGTTTATCTATTAATGTCATTGAATTATTCAACAGAAATAAACTAATGAATAAAATGTAAATAGAGACTAAATAGCTAAATAAGTACTGACAAAGTCCTTTAATACTCCAATTTCATTCATTTAACTAAAATCATTAATTGTAAGATTGATTATTTCCAGGATATTCTGACATTTTTATCAATTTCCAGGTGTTTCCATGACTGGAAATCTAAATTTCCAGGTTTTCCAGGTTTTCCAGAATGTGTGGGAATCCAGGGTATTCTGGAAGCAGAGCACTTTTTTATTTACATAATAAAAGTTGGAGATATTTCTCAGTATGTCTCAGGCTGTCATGCCACAATATAAATCAAATTAAAAAATATAGTATATACTCAAAGTGCATATGCAGTCCAACCTCATTTTACATGAACAAAAATAAATAAATTAAAAACTGTTAATAAGTAATTACAAATAACCAGAAACATACTAGAGCTGCATGTCCTTTAATGATGAGAAACATGTGTTTTACAGCCAAATATGAATCTACCTTCACGATCAGTGTGTGAAATCTCTTCCTGTCTCTGTTACACACACACAGAGTGACCCAGTAACCAGCAGCAGTGTGTTGCAGTGCGGGGGGGGGTGACTCAGGCTCTGTATTGATCAGCATTAGCAGCAGAGGCAGCAGTGAGGCAGAAATGATGTCAGTAGAGCAGCAGAACAGAATCCGGTCAGTGATAGACTCAACCTGCCTGACGGGATTCATGACGGTAACCCAGTTCAGCCCCGTTCGACTGAGGACGGAGGCGAGGAGGAGGGTGAAACTTCATGTTCACTGGTTTGAATGAGTGAACATGCTGTCCAGGATCAAAACAGTAAAGATCAAGGTGGCCACTCACATCCAGCGACTCAGGCTACGTACTGACACCGGACCAGATAAACAAACGAGTATTTTCAATATCAATTTGGCAATTATTTTCTAGATTAATTGATTCATCAAACTCATCAAACGCCCTCAACTCTTCATTCAGAGTGTCACACACTGAGTCATTATCATTAAACTGGGCCCTGAAATGTTCTCTGGTTAATGTTCAATACTTTTATTAATGTCCCAGTTTCTAAGGTCATTTCTTTAAATGTGTTGTTTTGTCGAGAAAGTTTTATTTTTTTTTGTCTTGGTTTAATCTTGTCAAGCATGTTTTGCGCAACAAAAGTAATCTCATTTTAAGAAAATCCATCTAACTGTGTCTTAATAATAAATATTGCTAATATTGAGGTGGATTTAACCAATAACAACAATGGTTGTATAATATCCCAGCAGAGGAACAAGATTATTGTCCTTATTTTCAAAGTAAGAGCACAACTTCTCATTTGAACAGAAAGTTGTCTGAAATATTATTAAAATACAATAGTTTCTGATGCCTTCATTTAAGACAAAGTAACTTATTTTTATTATGCTGTTTGAAGAAATTGTATCTAATTGTAAGATTTCTGCTAATTATTAATCTTAGATTAAATAAATTCAGCTCAATAAAGTGACCAAAATACTTAATTTCTGAAAGTCTGTCTGAAATAACTGAGTCTTCATTGCTTGTATTAAACACACCTTCCCAAAATGTTTGGCATTTCTTTCTAGTTTTAAGACTTATTACACTCTTTCAGTGGCCAGATATATATGCTAGTATAACCAACAGTGGCTTTTTGGGGGGTTTTGGGGGGTTTTTGTTTAATAAAAGATAATGTGATTATATTTAAAAATATTTGGCTTGTTTCTAGAAGGGCTGTTTTTGCAATGCATGTTGGAAATAATCATTTGATCAGCTGTATTTTAGCCGGTACCGATCCATTAAAGACCCTTAGGATTGGCTCGGGACGACTCAACTTGTAAGAGAATTTCTGAGTTTTAATAAGTCTATAATAAGTCTGAAAGCACTCACTGTGAGCTGTGAGACCCTGAGCCATAATGAGACTCCTCTGCTGCTCAGACACCGTCATTAATGTTCATAAACTCTGGGCCGAGCTGCTCATTGATGTTGAATGTCTGCAAACTGCTCGGGCTTAAAACATCATCAATATCACTCAGAATCGCAGTAGATTGATTCTCGTTCAGTCAAACTCTCACAGAGAATCTGGAGCTGGCTGATAAAACTTCCACAGAACAGACTGGAATTCTGTCTTCAGTTTAACTTCAGGGGGGGAAACTTAATCATGTTCAGTTATATAAGATAAAGGGAATTCACCCTTTAAACATTTATATTGTAAATCAGGATGTTATTTATTTCAATGGTTCCTCCAAACCTTTTTGTAACCCCTTAAAACCAGCACAGTTTATCAGCTGTGAGTAAGTAAAGAAAAATCTGACAAATATAAACAGAAATTTGTGCAGCGGGAATGTTTTACCTTCTGTCTTTTCCACTGAATCGTGTTCTGACTGGACAGATTTGTTCTGAGAACCTTTGGTTGATCCCGAAACCACAAGTTGGGAACCACTGATTTACTTTCTTACTTATCTAATTTAATATTTATCAAATGTATTCAGTTTATGTTTTCTTTTGTGTACCTGATGTTACTTTTTATTTAACCTTTTTTACTAAAAACTTGCCCCAGCTGTGTGTAAAGCTCAGTAACTACTAGATAGTTTTTAACTAAATCAGCAACTAAAATTGAACCACGACTACTTGGGCTTCTCTAGTTTATACATAAAGTCATAGCGAAGGCAAGAGACCAATCAGCATGTCGCAAATTGACTCTGATTAATGAAAAATGATGCTGTGTGGCAGAAGAGCTGCTGTTTTACCATCAGTGAGTATAATTCTGTGACATTGTATGATTTACATCACACTCTCTGTGGTGATCTCATATATCGCGCTTTTATTTTAATGCATAAATCAAAATTTAATGTGTAATTTACGTTATAACTAGGCTGAGTTGGAACTCACACACACAGCTGGTGCAACAGGCTGCTCTTAAATAATAAGATAATAATAAGATAAAGATAATAATAAACTCTCTTTCCCTGAAACACCAGACTCTGTGTGAGAGAAGCACTTCCTGTCTGTGAGGCGTGTCAGGATGAGGTCAGCGGGCAGAAACAGACATGACATCATCAGCAACACCGTGACTTCATCAGCCACATGACCACAGAGAGGAGGAGGAGGAGGAGGAGGAGGAGGAGGAGCGACTGACAGAGCGGAGAGAGAGGAGGAAAGAAATGATAACCAAGAATTATGACAGCAGATATGATGATCACATGACTCAGATCAATAATTCTCCTCATTAGTTCCAATTAGATGATGATGACGCCCATAAAGAGCCTGTCACATTTAACCTCTCTCCTTCCTGTAACGATCCAGGATCATTACTGTAACCCAACAGTAGTTTAAATTCTCTGTGAGTTGAACATAATGGAATAAATCTGTACAGTATCATTAAAATCAGGTCTTTAAAAAAAAAACTCAATTATACAAAGACTTTAAATAGTTTTGTTTCTTTATTCTACTGCACCCGTTCTACCTCAACCATTGCTACTGATCTATTAATTAATGATTTATTTAAAGTACTCTGTATGCTTGTTATTGTGGGAAAAAGTGCTTGTTAAATATTTCCATGTCAATAGAGAATGATCTTTCAACAGAGCTGAAACTATGTCGTCGGATGTTTTCTCTGGACACATTTTATATTTCTGTATGTTCAGCTGAGCTGCTGGGCACCAAACAGAAGACTTCATTTGAATTAATTTACAGGAAGTGTTCATCCTTTTATTTATCACTTCTTTGCGAGGAGATTCTAGGGATCTCTGGTAGCGTTACCAACATATTAAGACTTAAAGTGAGAGAGTTTTGGGGGTTTGATTGACAGGTGGCTCAGCTTGTCACACACAGTAGGATGATGTTACTTTAAAAAATCTCTGCTCTGACAAGGTTCCTCTCATCTTCTTCCAATTTCTGTGCAAACTGATCAGTAACAATGAACAGTCTGTTCAGGGGTCTTCCAGCCCCCCTTTCAGTTCAGATTTAAACATGCTCTTAACTGGTGGAGCTGTAAGTGATCTGGGTTTAGATTGATGATTGATGATGACTTTTTATGGCTCTCAAAGGCGAGAGGAGGGGAAAAAGCAAAGGTATGACCCCCCCGAACTCCCTCCTGATCCAACAGAGCTGTGTGTTCAGGACTTAATTAGACAGCGTACAGTAAATAGGTCATTTCCCTTCAGAGATGCCGACAGGGACGCAGGCTGGACACGTGAGTGCACCACACACGCATACACACACACACATGCAGTAGATACACACACAAACACACACACACACACACACACACACACACACACAGAGTAAACAGCTCTCTGTGTTTGATGTCCTCACGCTCACATTGGGGTGCCATTTAAAAAAAAACTTCAGCCAAGCTTACAAAGCAGAAAGCAACCAATGACTGCAGCTGTACCGTCACACAGAGTCAGTGGAGCTTTGAACCGGCATCCATAGATCAACCTCACCAGGCTGTTCACCAAAAACATTACAGGATAATCCAAAGACACAACAAGCTGCTGTTTCCAACATTATCAGTTCAGATCAGATAGAGCTGCAGCCGGCCGCCGCTAAACAGGCTGCAACGTAATCCGTCAGGACAACTGTGCACTGTCAATGTACGTCCAGTAACAGTGCTTATTACGCTACTGACCGGCTCAGATTCTTAATTATACAACATTATAGGAAGGATCCTACAGAGATAGACCCTTATGTTAAAGAAGAAGATCCTTTCAGTAATTGTACGTATATCGCTGTGTTCAACGCCACCAGACTCCACCATAAACATGATGTCTACCGCTGCCTCAGTTAATTTAATGTTATAGTGTGAGTTTGATGTTAAAACACAAAAGTCAGACACTTCTGATAACAATGTGAACACTTTTAGTGGCCGTACTCTATAAGGATTACACATTGCAACCCATGTTTTGGCAGTCTCATTCATACTGGACCAATTTCAAGTCTCCATTAGACAACAATGTTATGATTGTTCTATGTTAGAAAACATAGAACAATAAGGTCCTATGTTTCCCTTTCCTGTTGGCTTCTTTTGTTGAATGAGGGAGAGGGTTGTCTAAAAAACAATGCTTATGTCTCAAAGTATTATAATAATAAAATACCATTTGGGTATCAGAGACCTGAAGATCCCTATCTAAACCCTAAAGTCAGAGCTTTTACTGTCTGACCTTTTTATGTGATCTTATGCTTCAGTCTGTCACGAACATACACACATACACATACATTATAACAACACACAGTCCTTTAATCTGTGTGAGCTCAGCTGAGCATTTTTAAACAACTCTCACTTTCACAACATGCTCACGTTACAGGAATCATCTTGTTTAACATCCACTGTGACGTCTAATCCGCACTGATCTCACGCCTCAAAGCTCGGCGGCTGTTTGTGAATCAGCAGTCTGGAGTCTGACAGGAGAGAGTTTACACGGGACCTGATTCATCTGTCTTTTGTGAGATTAAAGCCCAGATTACAGCCAATACTGGGAAAGATTTTTATGTAACACAGCAGCTGTTTTATCAGCTGAAATCACAGAGTGAGGCTGAAGCACAGAAACAGACTGCTTGCACTTCAATCGGGATCCTATACATTCTACAAATACTCCTAAACTCACATTTTGTGGCAAATTTGTAATTTGATAATAAAAAGGTCTGCACATTATTAATATAATTTATATTATTCAGGTGAAATGTGGTCAAAAAATTATTCAGTTGGCCGAATTTAGAAAGCTACAGATGCCTTTTTAATGTGTCAGATACATATTTAATCAACTGTTAGGTGACTAGCATCAGATCGGACTCAGTATTCGATATTAAAGCGAAAAGTGAAAATATTAAAGGACTGTTGATCAGGAAATCCAAAACATTTACCAGCAATGATAGGAAATCAGAAAGTTGAGAGTACACACACAGTACACACACAGCACATACACACAGTACACACACAGTACATACACACAGTACTCACACACAGTACACACACAGTCATTTTTACTGTTGGGTCAACCAGGGTCCAAAGTTAACTTTTTAACTGGAAAATGTACAATCCAGAATATTTTTTTTTACTACATTTTTGCATTATTTGACTAAAAATAATTACCTATTTCAGTCAGGATCTGGAGGCGACCTCTGTGACTTCTCTTCATCTTCATGTTTTCTTTTTTGTGGCTTTACATCGGGAATGTTTCTGCACATTTCTAACACAGATGTTTCTTACAGGAGTCTGAGATATGTTCAGTGGACAGTGAAGGTCACATTACTCTCAGCTGGTGCACATTAAACTCAGCGATATAAACCTGGCCTTATGCTCTCATAACTGATATACAAGTCCACCAAACTCAAAATGTGCCTGCATTTGGACTATAATCATATCACAGGGATTGAAACAGACGTGTCCTAACAAACAAGAGACGTTTTGTTGTCATACAACAAATTGTTATCAATGGCGTTTATCAGCACTTCTTCCACGACATTATATTCACTCTTGTTCTCTTTCTGCTGCCAGCTTCACCTTCACAGCCACAGCCAGCTCTCCACTGGCCACACCCACAGCACATGGTGCCCCCGCAGACTGGATTCAGGGGGAATCAGCCGACTTTATGTTATAAATCATTTACAGCAAACCAAACGCTGCGTGTTACCGTTAATGTCAGAAGGAGAGGGCGTCGCTGTGATGCTGGGACTTAAAATAAACGGAGGAGAGGTCGATGTGGAGAAAGAAAATACAGCCACAGACAGACTGCAGTCACAGAGGAACAACAGGGTGTGTGTGTGTCTGTCTGTGTGTGTGTGTGTGTGTGTGTGTGTGTGTGTGTGTGTGTGTGTGTGTGTGTGTCTCTGTGTGTGGGTCCCAGGAGTCTCCCGGCCCAGCCCTTGTATAAATAATGTATCATAGGGGAGGAAAATGTGTTGGAGGATCTTCTGGTTGTTAATCTGTCCTTCTCTCTCTCTGTATCATGTTTCTGAGGAAGAGGATGGAGAACAGCAGCAGCAGAGGTAAAAGTCTCGAGGTGTGGCCGTGTGGCAGCGTGAATCTCCGCTGCTCCACAAAGATTGATGCAAAAACATAAAAATGTAACTGAAGAAAGGAAGCAGGTGGAACACAAAGAGTTATCTAATATGAAATGAAATCAGAGCACTGGAGTCTGATTCAAAGGGCTCAAGATCAGAAATGTTCTAATTAAGTGGATTCAAACAACTGAAGGACTCCTTTCAGCTAAAGTACAAGGTCATAAATCCCCCTCACGATACAAAATCCGATATTTTCCACCAAAATCCAGATTAGAGAAGAGAGGAGTTAATGATGTTTTTGTGTGTCATTGAAGTAAAGGGGGCGCACATTTCTTAGTGTCTGTTCTCGCCGCCATCCAAGCAACTACTTTACATTTAGAAATCCCCAAATGATGATCGGTCGGCACTGAGCTCTCCTGGTTTTTATTTCACCATATTACAGGCTCACTCTTTCTACCTTAGTATCAACTTGTCAGTCATCTGTGACGGACTTTAAACTGCACTAACCTGTATTAAAGGTGCTCTACAAAATAAAAAATTGATGGATTAATACAATTTACAGTCTGTAATATAAAACAACAACTTTATTCTGTATACATTCCTTTTAGGTGTCGTATAAATAAAGGTTTTGCCATCAGATATCACAGTGTTTTACTGTTACAGAAACTTTAACCTGTTTACAGTTTACAGTCTTTTACTGTCATTGTTGGACAGTTTTTCACTGTAAAATCTACAGACATTTCACACACAGTACTTCCATTCCTCTGCAGTGCCTGCACATTACATTACACTGTATTAATGCTCTTCACTCTCCAATCTGGATTCCCACTGGGACCAGACCAAACCATTAGTGTGTGGAGGCCATGTTTTTTTTCCCGTGTAATTATGGGTAATATGACAGCACGGTATTTCCTTACAGACTGCTGGTGTTCACAGAGCTGCACTTGTCTGCAGAACAGTTTCAAACGGGCGTGATAAATGTCCCACGTCCCTCCATCACAGCCGATAACTGTGTGCTCTAGAAACCGGCTGAGAGCTGGCTGAGCTGATAAAAGGTGTTAGAGAGAGAGAGAGAGAGAGAGGTCAAACCAAAGGACGTTCTCCCATTAACATTATTTATTAGTTAAATCTTACACTCTGTCTGCGGCTGCATTTGTATGCAGTCACTCCAGTAACAACATGTGACAACAGTTGGCTCATTTGTTTGATCCGCTCCCAACCCGATCAATGACGCGAGAACAGAGATGGTTTTGTAATGTGACAGTTAGTTTTATACACGGATGGCCTTTGTTTCTGCTCAACTGTGCAGCTGCAGCTTTATTAATACAGTGGATTTACGTCATCCACCATCAATGGCATTATAATAACTTTTAGAATAGAATATGCAGGATGTCTATGGTAAATGCTTGTTTCCATCCTCTACTGTTATGCGAATATTAGGAGTTCACTAGATTAGCCGTAGGTGGTTCCAATTCAACCAACTGGGAAACCAGAAGATGATGGCACAACAAGATGATGTAATTAAAAGAGCAGCAGTCGAAGCTCAAGCGGTAAACACTGACACTGTTTTAATGCTAAATCTTTACAGTGTTTAAATTGTGATACATTTTGACTGTTTTCTGAACTTTTTCTTAATTTTTTAAAGTCAACTAGTCAAAATTTTAATTTCTGTTTAAATCGACAGAGGAATTAGTTGCCTGGAACGTCCTTCATGCGTATTTACTCCAGTTTTATAACTAATACAGCATAAACAACAACAACAACAACAACAACACACATCAGATACTGACTGAACTACTGAATTCTGGTTGTCTTCGTCTCAGAAACACAGATGCAGCCGGTACAAAAACAGCAGGGTCTCATTTCATTTCATATCTCAGATGTCAGAGCGTCTTTGAACACACCGAGGGGAACAGTTCTCAAAGTGCTGGAAATTATTCCGAGCTCGACTGCGTGTCAACAAACAGCTCTCATCTGCAGGAGATGAAATGTAAAGCTGATGTGTTAACTGTCAAACAAGTTAAGCAAGAGCGAGATGTTTAACCTCCTCAGAGAAAAGAAAGAACAGGGCAGGAAGTGACTGGGCTGATGGGAAATGGCAGGTTGAAATATACATACACAATAAACATCAGGAAAATCCAGTGTGTCCGTAGGAAATGTACCACCACTGCTAACACGTATAAACACTGTAATTTAGCCTGAATGTTATCTGTAACTTAACTAGTCCAGATGCTTTAGAGTGAATACATTTATTTGCGGGTTCATTTTGATGAATTATCCCTCGAGGGATTATTCAGACACATTAACTAACAAACGTTCTGACCCTTTTAACCCTCTAACAGCAAAACACATAAACAACAGAAAAACATAAACCTTTCACCAATATCACTCTGAAAGATATAAAACACAAACATACAAACACAGCCCCTCTAAGCATAAACGACAATACACAAATCTATCTGCCATCCACCGTTCATTTGATCCAGTTCATAAACCAATAGTCAAAAACAGTAACCCTAACCCAAACAGCAAATAGAACAATAAGAAAACACAGAATTTGTCATAAATGAAGTCTATTATATGACTGTATTGTGTTTTTTAATGAACAGACAGAGAATTGTATAAAAAGTTCATAAAAACATCAGGAAAACTCATCTCAGATCAATATTCATCTAAATCACTCCATATCCATAAAATGTGTCCCTGAGTTGGGGGTCGTCACTCAATGATAGAAAAGGAAAAAGGGTTGGGAACCGTGTGTGTGTGTGTGTGTGTGTGTGTGTGTGCTCTGAATACTAATGCCCACATTTCTCTATATAATCATATAGTATCAATAATAATAAATTATATTAGAATCAATAATATGATTGATAAAAGTACAGCAATCATCAACAACAGTGAGCAACTAATTTAGCTGTCAATTAAACAAAAGTTTAAATGGAAGAAAATGCTCTAAACAGTCAAAATTGAGCAAAATTGAAAGAACAAACAGCAGAGAACAGCTGATAACAGTGAACTCAGTAACCGCAGGATGTTTGTGTAAAACCAGAGAGTTGGATGAATTTTGAGCAGATTATTTCCTGTGAATATTGATCAGAGATGAGTCTCACTTATATTTTCTGCAATATGTACATTTTTGAATTTCTAACAATCAAACATACTTAAGCTTTTTTTTTGACAAATTCAGTGTTTTATTGTCATGGTTGTTTTCTAATGCAGGACGAGGCAGTATATCAGAGAGTGAAGGCTCTGTGAACATACACTGTGTTCAGGTCTTCACAGTTCAAATCTAAACTTTAACATAATAATTTAGTTTTTAATAAATGAATGAAATACTGAGGTTTAGGCCTACTGTGGGTCCCGACCACCTGTTTGGTTTCACCGACTAGTCGACTGATTGCACACATTGCTAGTCTGGAGTCATTGCTCAGAGTCTGTGTGTGTGTGTGTGTGTGTGTGTTCAATAATTTATCTATAGATTATGGCCTCCCTGCCTCTCAGAGACTGACTGACTGAACCAGTCTGGCTGCCTGCCGAGTGTAAAAATGTAAAATATTCTCAGTATCATACAGATGAGATAGCATTGGGGTTTGGATGAGGGTTCACACACTGTCTGTGACATCAGTTTGATCACCTGATCACAACAACTGGAGCCAGAAAACAGAAACAAGAGTACGAGTAAAAGATTACGTTACAGAAAGAAACTTATTTCTGGATCGACCCAAACAGCAACATGATTTTATACACACTGTAAATCCTAACGTTAACTCAACTTAATCCTCGTCAACATTAATTAAACCCAACTAAAAAATGAACTGTTGAAGTAATAACTCAGTAGTTTTGAGTAAACTGTGCAGTATTTTAATTATTGATGATTTAATTCCAGTTTGTTCCACTGACTCATTTTCTTTAAGTTGACTTTAGATCATTGAACGGACGCTGCGCTTCGTTGCTGTCGACTGTCGGTTGGGATGAAAGTAACAGCAGTTTAAACTTGAATTGTTTATAATGTTTTTATTAAAAATATCCTTGTTTATATGTAATTAAACACATTAGGCTCGTTTATCTTAGCAACAAATTACATTTCATCATCATCCAACATTTTACAACAGCAGTGTGAGAAAACGGTTTTAACACTATAAAAGTATAAAAATAACAAATTGCAAATCATTTGCTGTATTACTGACTTAAACTTTTTTCTAATTAATTTTATGTATTTAGTTAGCTCACTTTTGATGCAGTCTTGGCTGTTCGGTTTTCTCCTGCACCCTCGGTGGAGCATAAATAAACACATCAAATCAAGTTTATTTTATCTTACAGAAAATTTATCTTTCTAATTGTCCTATTAAAATACATTTAGAAAGTGCTTGTTGCACAATGAACGATTATCAACCACAACAACAAATGCAATCTGAGTGAGAGGCTCAAATACAACAACAATGCTCCAGGATAACACAGTTCATTTCCAGGATATTTGGTCATTTTAATCCATTTCCAGGTCTCTCCATGACTGGAAAACTAGTCTCTAAATTTCCAGGTTTTCCAGATATTCCATGAACCGTGATTCTGTTTTCTACTGAGCGACAGAAACAGAGTGTTCACTGCCACGCCCGAGGTCTCAGCAGATGTTATCGATACGGAGAGAGAGAGGAGGAGAGCTGGCAGGCTGAAACGAGAAAACTGCCAGGACAGAAAGATGGAAGAAAAAGGCCGGAC